TTTATGAGACTTAAAGTGAAGTTTGCAGCCAGAACATAATGAAGCTTTGAAGAATATTTTCTAATGAGGCAAAAACCATAAAGTGTAAAATAAAGATGTCAGGAAACGAACATCTGTCACCACAGAGATTTACAGCTTTAAATGTCAGAAGTTTCATTTCTCTCAATTTTCATTTTATTCTTTAAAACTAGATTCAGAGAATTTCAGTCAAAAAAAAGGAAAACTTCACCTTTTTTTTTTTACTTATTTCTCCACCAAAACATTTTAAAGCTCTCAGAGTTTAACCGAGACCAGAAATAACTTGAAATTGTTTAAATTTTACTTGGTTTTCTTGGTTTGATGCTGGAACAGATTAGTGCAGCTCTGATCATTCAGAAAGTTGGTTTTACTGATTATAATCTGTGGTTTTAACCGAGGTAAAAAGTTTGGCTTTAAATAGGGAAACACGCAAACATGAATACCTCAGAAAGATTTTAGAGATAAAAGTGAGCAGCTGTGGGACGCCTGCCGTCATCTGATAAACAGCAAACGTTACAGAAGGCATGAGGGAAGCCAGATGTTTGAAAGAAGGAGAAATTACAAATCTTTGTCTATAAAAAGGCATCAGTGAAACTGAAAAGGTGAGGGATTTTTTTCCTAAAGATTTACAGAATAAAAAAAGCCAAACTAACCAGATTGTCCAGTGAAAGAGAAGCTCACCTTTGCTCAGCAGGGCAGCGGTAGAGCTGGTGTTTCTGTGCAGCGTGGTGGCGGTGGAGGTGAGATGAAGGCTCTGATGCTGCAGCTGAACATCACACAGTCAAACGCTGCTGATAAAAGGGGAATCTGAGAGTGCGAAAGCTGCCGTCTTCCTTTTTGAGACCCGCTCTGCTTCAGCAGAAGTGACTCCCAGCTTCCTCCTGCTCTGCTTTTCATCAGATAAATTCAACGCTCCACAAGCCTTCACATGCTTCACGCCCAGCAGTCCTCTTACATCTATTTAAAACCACGTCATAAGATTTACTTCACCTCACAACAAGCAATGTCTTATTTAAATGCTGCATGACAGTTTGCGAGGCTTCTGCAAACATTTAGGAGCTTTTTAATGAAGGGAGGGCATCTGTGGAGCAGCTGCTTCTGACTCATCTGAAGATCCTGGCATCCTGGAAAAGGTCCATGACACAGGTTATTAATAAAACACACAGCCGCTGCTAACCGCTCAGGTTTGTTTACTTCAGGGGACGAGTTATTTCAACATTGTTTGCGGGTGTGTACAAATAAGTCTGTTTGTGAGTGAGTTTGTCTCAAGGAACTTTCCAGTTCACCAGATCATCCAGTTAGATTAATTCAAAGGTTTCTATCTAAGGAAAACCAGCTGATTGACTTGAATGCAATCCCTTATACTAAGCATGCTTGTAGCGACAGTGGAGAGGAAAAACTCCCTTTGAACAGCAAGAAACCTCCATTAGAACCAGGCTCAGTGTGAGCGGCCATCTGGGGTTCAAGGACACAAGCAGAGACAGAAAAAGAAGCTCCAAAGGCGGCCAGGTCCAGGAAACAGTAGATAGAAAGCTTTGAATCAATTTGACTGTATGTTCTGGTTGAATTGTAAAGTACCTTGAGATGACTTGTGTTGAGAATTGTCTCTACACTGGAAAAACGATCTAGAAATAAGTAAAAATTTCGTAAATGAAGTGTATTTACCCTTAATTTGAGTAGGTAAATGAGGAAGTTTGCCAATGGAATGAGCATTTTTACTCTTAAAATAAGATAATTTGATAACATGCACTTGAAAAAGACAATCCAATTGAGTTTTCTAATTCTGAATGTAAATTGTCTTGTTCAATTGGCAACATTTCACGTCTCTCTCCTCAATTTAAGAAGAAAAGCACTTATTTTAAGAAAAAATTACTTATCTAGATATCAATTTTTTCCAGTGTATATGTATATAAATAAACTGAATTGAAACACCACTCTCCTCACACTAACCCCTCCCTGTCCTCAACTCTTCACACGTCTCCAACCCTCAGACCACCTGAGACCTACACTCCCCCTCACCACCCACTCACACCCTCTGTCCTGCCTCCCTCCCCCCTCACAGTCACTTCAATGCAGGTGAGAGGCCAGTTGAAGAGACCGGATGGCACCCCCCCTCCAAAAGTCTGCTGAACCCTCGCTATAACGCGGTTCACTTTTCACGCTCTCGCTGCTTCACGGATTTGCATCATGCATTGTTAAACTTTATTGTCAAACATATTAATGGTGGAATGGCGGTTTATAAGGATCTTTTGGGCCAGAAGAAAAAAGAGCGACAACAACTACCGATAACTATGTTCTTCTCTCCAAAAAACTCACCTGCACCGCAGGATTTAGAAGCAAAAAACGCCACAGAGCAGAGTAAGAATGC